GAAAATGAACTGCTGACTATTGACTGTGTTTCACCACGTGGTCCTTGGGAGACGTGGGGTGGTGGTGGGGGGCTGGGGCACAACCGTCCAGAAATTGTGAGATTGCCTTGGAACCCTGAACATTCCTTGGAAGCCTGGCATTCAACTGCACATTGCAACCCTACTCTAGGCTAGTGTAGGCTTTTTGTTGTATAACATTCAGCAAAAAAACATAAGCACATTTATGTAGGCAGTGTGCAAAATAGACCTTGTCACGGTTTTCGATGCAATCTTGAAGAGTAGGCAAGTGCGTGAGAAATCACAGTGTTTGTATGAGAATCTAATGTTGAATAGTTTCCGCATAACGGCTTTTCTGAAAAAAATATAAAATGTAAACTAAAGCTACAAAGCAAAGCATTGTCCTAAAAAATTTGGGGCGTACTTGTGCTTAAATTTCTCCAGAGGCTTGCTTTAGATTTTCCATTTATTTGTCTGTAATTTTCCTGGGACTCTCTTACAAACAAATGTATAGAAAATTTTAAAAAGTGGTTCTAGGTCTTCTAGTGCATGTAACGCCCATGAATTTTTTCAGGAAAATCCTTAGGAGTGAAGTTTTAGTTTACAAATCATATTTTTTTCAGAACAGCCATTCTATGGAAATTATTCGACATTAGATTCTCATAAAATCACTGTAATTTCTCATGCATTTGCCTACTCGTCAAGATGGCGTCGAAAACCGTCACAAGGTCTATTCTGAAAAGGGCCAATACCTTGAGACTTTAATGCAAGATAGAAGAAATGGTGACAATGACAAGAAGACAATAGTTGCAGTTTCAACCAATTATTGGTTGAAACTGTGACTTCAATTACCAGGCCCAGTTGTTAAAAAGCTGGATAGCGCTATCCACCATGCCAGATAATTCACTGTGCAACAGATAAGTGTTAGGGAAACCAATTGTGCTATCCAGGGGATTAAGTGATTTAGTAAAATCCAACTATTTGTCTATTATCAATGTTGCATTCTGATTGGCTGAGCTACTACTAGGCTATATGTTATAGCCCACTGGTAGCGAAAAGCGCCAGCTTTGAAAACCAAAACAATGGCAATAAGTCTAGCTTTAACTAGCTAAAGTTGTTTTGTCTCGATATTTTTGACCAACTAGTCGGATTTTACTAAAACAATTATTTCCCTTGCCCTCATGGCCTCTGAGTAAATAGCCCATGAGGCCTGCTATTGACTCAGAGCCCCTTCGGACTCGAGGAATAATTGTTAATTATCTGCTGGATAGTGCCATCCACACCTTTTGAACAACTGGGGCCAGGATTCTTCAGTAAATTGTTTTCATGTTCAGATCAAGGCTATTGTTTGACAAACCTCAGTGGGATTTTTAAATTTAAGCAAATACTTTACACAAAATGATTTCTGGTAGTTATACTCAACTGACAGTATTTTATAAAATGGAGTCCATTGTCAAATACTTCCCCCCTCCTCCTAAAGAATACTCCTGGCATTTCCCCAGTAATTCTTCCTGGGGTGTGGGTAGTTTGATGGGAAAGGCATTCCCAGAGGTGAAGTTTTCACTAGTTTTCACAAGCAAAGAGAGTTTGACGTTGGTTGTGTTAAGTCAAGACCATGACGGAAGCAGTCTTATTCAAGTTTTGGCAGAGGCTGTTTATGGTTTATCGAGTTACTTGCAGTTTTAGAGTTTTTCTTGGTGGATACATTCATAGTTGGAAAAAAATCTTCTTGTTGCTGTTTCGACAGCCCTGCATCATTCCGTTTAGTTTCCAGCTGAGTCGTTTGTAGCCTGCGAAAACATCTGTTTCTCCTCGCTCTTCGCCGCTGGGGACGTTTCGCGCGGAGTAACGTCTGCGACTCAGCGACAGAAATTCCATACTGATGATGCAAATTAATGTTTATGTAATAAATCCGTCAGTCATGGGGTTTTAAATATAAATTGGTCCAATTTTGCGGGTCTTCTGGTCAATTTTGGTAAAGTGTTGTGTTCATCTGCTCAAGAGCTCCAGCAAAAACTCAAATGTTTCTTCTAGAGAAGACTATATTCCACAAATGTTGACTGTTTTGTTAGAGATTCTTTGCGTTTACATTTGACCTTTGTGGCCTTTTGTCTTTTGTCTGTCATTCTTAAACAATAGCTAAAACAACGTAACTACTCCGTCGACTAATGAGTGCTTCTGACCGGATCCCGGACAGATTTTACGTCATCAGCATGGAATTTCTGTTGCTGAGTCACAGACGTTCCTCCGTGCGAAACGTCCCCAGCAGTGAACAGCGAGGAGAAACGGATGCTTTCGCAGGCTAAGTCGTTTGGTTTGAACCTCTTCTCCTGCCCTTCATATCACTCTGGAAACTCCAGTTCAGCTTCAGTCACTTTCCGTAATAAAAATTGCAACATTTGTGTTTTCCCATCGTTTTTTTATGGAGACTCTTTACTCCTTTGGTGATCTTTATGGCCTCATTTTGGTGATTATAGGTCTGTCAATGTTCTTAGGTATTTTCTCTGTTATCGTCAGACTTCTCGACAGTATTCAAAGCTGTTTGGGTGTGTTAATTTTTTGATTTCATATTTCATTATTTATCATTAAAATACATTGACTATTTCTTGTTTTATCTCTTCATACTAGTTTGACCTGCCAGTTCCCTTTTGGAAAATAGGGCAAACACTCTGACTAGAATAGACCCTGCAGGTAAAAAAAATCAAGCTGTCTTATTTAATGTTATAGTATATGTAACAAAACAATACCCTATTACCCTAGGCCCGGTTCCTCGAAAGATGGTTAAACCCCAGGATTAAGCCAAATTTTAAGCGAGGTTTTCTCGTCTACCAAATAACATGCAACTCAAGCTTACAAACTACCATTGAGCCGTTACTCCGAGATACAGTAATGATATCACAAAATGTAACTGGTAATACTTTAGGAAGGTAAAGAACAAAAACTGAACAAAACTTGAATCCTAGATTAGCTCTAATCAGCCTTCCAGGAACCAGGCCCTGGGTCTTAAGATTCCTGACGTTATAGAAGAGCTTAAAAAACAGTTTTAAGTGACAAAATAGTGTTGCAAAATTATAGCTTCCATAATCCAGTTATTCATTGTGTGGAATCAGTAAAGTTTAGATGATTGTTCATACCAAACTTTATGATTTTGATAAGTATATAATATGAGCATAAAAGTACTTTATAAAGCCTGGGAAATTTACGGATGGCTTGTAGAGGCTTTATCAGAGGCAGATCCACAAATTTCAAAAAGGGGGTGGCTAGGACAGTTGTCATTATATAGATCAAACTATTAAAATTTTGCCGAAAAATTCTTTCAAAATAATGCAAAATTACACAGAAAAAGAGGTGGCTATGGTGCATTTGGCCCACTTCGAATCACCTCGAAAAAATATTATGTATCTTCAAATTGCAAACATTAAAATGCTGCCAGACACTATGTCAATGCTGCTTTAATGTTAGAAAAACAGAAAACTGTAAGTGATGGCATGATCATTCGTGAGTTGAAAATCCGGAATGGAGTGGACATTACACTTGTGATTCTCTGTTTAACAAATGGGTAATGGCTCAGTGTATTTTTGAGTTATGGCTGCAAAGCACAAATGAAATACAAGAGTCACTCAAGGTGATAGCTGATTGTGACTCTAGCTTCTTGAGTGCTTAAGCAATACTCAAGTCCCCCCGAGTGTAACCACAACTCAGTAGTGGATGCTGATCCAGTTACCATCTGTTTTATAACATTTTATAAACCAAGAGAAAAACTTTTGCCAACAGTTTTTAGGGGAATGATGCGACTGTACAAATCATAGTTTGCAAACTCTTCTTTGTGGAGTTCAACACTGTTTTTTTTTATGTTCATTACCTTCAAAAACTTCTCAGAAGCGCCAGAGGTATAAGCGTCATGCACATACGCCTTTGAGTACAGCTGAAATCTGGAGAAAAATACATTTTTTAATTCCCTGAACGCATTTTTGTCATTCAATTGGGATGATTGATAAATCTTTTGCATTATATTATATTTGCCTGTCTGAAGGGTAGACGTCTCGCCCTTTGCGGCCTTTAACTTCCTTCTTGATGGTGTCATTTTTTTATTGTCTAACCACTGCATTGTCGTTCATATTTATTTTCTAAAAAAGACCTGCAGAAAACCTGGGACGTAGCATTTCTGAGCCCCTAAATTTTGTGGAGGAGCATGACCCAAGACCCTTGTAGTTTGCAGTATGTTCAGAGGTCTAACCTTTTTTTCTACGGATACACCTTCAAAAACCTCTTGCTAGGCCCTCGCTTGCCTTCTGTATCTTTCCTCTCAGCAGGATAATAAAATTCTTTGCAAACTATGAGACAAAAACAAGATGTAAAAGTGTAGTCTCATGGGAATTGAGCATGCACTAGCTTGTTAGCAATCAGCCATGGGCAAAATGTAAATATGTAATTGGCCAATCAGAGTGTGCTATTTTCTTTTGTTATGTTAATTACCTTGTTTTATTTTACCTGGGGAGTGGGGGAGGTAGGGGTATCCCTAGAAAAATCTGGGTGGGATTGTGAGGCATGTCTTGTAAAACAGAACCTTAATGTTTTTAAACTATGAGATAGGTTTTTCTCTACCCTTGCCTCAGACCTGACCTAAAAGAGGTCATGGAGGGGGGGGGTGCAAAATGTGATTAGAACAACCTTAAGAGCAAGGGATCGACATACTCAGGCACCAACCTATGACCTTGCTAGTATCTTACCAATACGCATACACATGGCCATATCACCCGGACAGTCGCAACCATGGACAACTGTTTTGCCCTTGTTTGTGCTCATCAGCATGACATGGCCATCACAACCCTGCAGTGATGAGTTGAGGTCATGTTAACAGGTGCCCTTCACTCTATATGCCACTTGTTCAGATAGAAACTGTCACACTATCCGATTTTTTTATTCTTGCAACTAACAGAATAAATTATTATTATTCCTGGTTGCAGATGTACTATTGCTGAAGCTGACTATCTTTTACTAGCATGGCGACTGTAGCACCTTCACCTTTGGCCAGCTCTCCAGAAAAGACAAATGGAAACAAGCTGAGCAGACTTCTCATTGATGGCGGAACAACAGTGCTGAGGAATGTTTTCGATCATTATCACCCACCTGGCAACTTGGCTTCTGACCTCAACTCCAATTACTCCATACTTAACAAACTTTTGCGTAAAAGAGTACTAAATGGGCATCAGTGGGACAAATTGTTTCCCCCTGGTGGAGGGGTACCAGACTCCAACACGTTTGACATCACTCTTCTGTTCCTTCTACTAACCAACATTTGTGGTTTATCCCCTCCCCTGACAGGATGGCACACCAAGCCATCCCCTGGTGATAACTCTCTTGAAGCTAACCTTGCTCGTGTTAAGTTCTTCCGGAATGAGTTGTATGGTCACGTGACTTCCACTGCTTTTGATGCGGCAATTTTCTCTTCCCTGTGGCAAGAAATAAGTGCTGCTCTACTTTCTCTCGGTTTGGATCAAGCTGAAATTGACAGACTTAAGGCGGAGAGTGGTGGAGAGGAAGATTATCTTGATGCCTTATTTGAGTGGGCTGACAGTGATGTGGAAATAAAAACAGAGCTTAAGGATATCCGTCAATCTCAAGCCAAAATCCAGGAAGTACTGCAGCTCAAGGAAGACAGAAGAAAAGAAGACAAAGAAAATGAAGTTCTGAAAAAACTGGCAGTTGTTGACACCAAGAAAGTCATTCAAACTCACTTGGACAAGTATCAAGAGGGAACCCGCATTTCTGTCTTTGAGAAGATCGAGTTGTGGCTAAACGACCGTACTTCTAAAAATCGTGTCATGGTAATCAGTGGGGATGCAGGAATGGGCAAATCAGTGATTTCCGCTGTCGTTTGTCAAAGAATGCGACATGCTGGTCGGCTGACGGGAAGTCATTTTTGTCAGCACAACAAGGCGCGTCCCAGAAATCCTAAGATAATGCTTCAATCGTTAGCTTATCAGCTGAGTGAGTTTTTGCCTCCGTATAAAAGAGAACTTGTAAAAGCACTGTCAAGAAATTTGGGTGAAGATATCAACAACCTAGAGGTTGGAGAGGTCTTTGAATTGCTGTTCGAGGAGCCTTTAATAAATATAGATGATCCGGGAAGAAGCTTACTCATGGTGATTGATGCCCTGGATGAAAGTGAATACAAAGGCCGCAATGAGCTGCTTGATGTCATGGCTAATCAGTTTCGTACACTTCCTGGTTGGGTTCGATTTTGTGTTACAACTCGCCCGGAAATAAATAACGCAGACCATCTTAAAAAGTTCAACCCTGTTCTACTGGAGCAAGATGATGAAGAAAATGCAGGAGACATCAGACTCTTTCTTGAAAGACAGCTGTGCAACGTCATTCAATCAAGCTTTCAAGAAGTTGTTATCGATGCACTGGTCCGAAAGGCTGCAGGGCATTTTTTATATGCTTATTTGATGGTTGATTTTATCAAGGAAAACGTTTTACTCCTTACCCCCGAGGAGTTAGGAAGAATCTTGCCTTCAGGTGTATCGTCTGTTTATCAGTCCTACTTTGAACGTTTAGAGAACGAATTGAAAATTGGTGAGGACCAGTTTTTGACTTTTCTTAGTGCTCTGGCGGCTGCAAGAGAACCACTTCCTCTAGACTTTGTTTCTAAGATGTTGATTGCGGACTCGAAGTCCCCATCTAGTCATCGGAAAGTAAGAAAAGCTATCGAATCTATCTCAATTCTTCTTCCTTGACTGCATTGTGTTCTTCCACAAATCAGTTAAGGATTGGTTGACTGACAGAACTGCCTACGGGCGCCACAACCTCTCTGTTTTTGAAAAGCAAGGTCATGTCATGCTTTCCCAGCTCTGTACTACTGAACTGAATAACGTCAAAAGAAAAGGCGTTCACGGCACTGAATTCAGTGACACTGCGAGGTACGCCCTACAGCATGGCGTTTGTCATAATTATGCTCGAGTCGGAAGAGCTGGAAGAGAGTACAAGAAGCTTTGAAGAAATCGTTAACAACTATGTCACGGACTTGGACATTGTGTATGCAAAGCTATGTGTAAACGACACGGCTAGTTCTGAGGACATGGTCCTCACTCAGAAACAAGAAGCTTTTCAGTTATTGAGCAGTGAAAGCCAAAACGCCCTTGGCACGTTGTTGTTTCTTTTACGAAAGTACCATGAAAGACTTACGACGAATCCCACTTCTTTTTTCCAAGTGATGATGAACGAAGGAGGAGACGATTTTGCTGGTGAAGCGACAGAACTTTTGCAGACCAAATATCATGATATACCGTACATGAAGTACGTTCCCAAGGGGGCTATGGAAGAGGAAATTGAGGTTCAGGCTTTGTTTCGCTGTACCTCTCGAGTGGCTTGTTTTGATATTTCACCTCAGCAGGAGTTCATGGTGTGTGAATGTAGGGACGGGACGATTCAGCTATGGTCAGTACAGACAGGGAAGCAAATATGGAAACGTCCGGTCAAGTTCGGCAAACGTTACGTTGATGATCTTGACGCGTTCAGAGTGGTACCCGAATCATCTGTTTTGTCATGTTATCGTTCCGTTTTTTTTCACCCTACTAAGCCCATTGTTCTTCCTGGAATCCTAAGCCATGCCTACTCAATTGACGGAGCTTTCCTTCCACTGTTCCCTAATAGCAACTGCAAATTTACCGTTTGTTCAGTTAATGGGGATAGTATGATTACAGATTTCCCTTGTTATGCAAAATGCCTAGTCATGTGGAGTCTAACAAATGGCGAAGAGATCACTCGAACTGAGAGAGATGAGGTTGTATTGTCTTTTGCCTGGTCTCCAGATCGAAAGCTACTAGCAATTTCTCATCTTTCGGGACTGGTTTGTCTGGTTGATGCATTGAATTGCTTTGAGACACTTGCAGAGATCACCACTGTTTTACCATGTGGAATGATCAAGTTTGCCCCTAACCTCAAATTTCTGTTTTGTTGGTGTAAACCAGTAAAGTCTATGTGGGAGAGATACCCAAAAGGCATTCGCGTGAACGTCAATAACTTGCCTTGTGGCACTTTTTCCTTGGATGTTGTTAACGATAACGTTGACTATGAACCTTGGGATTATGAATTATCCAGCAAAGCTGGATTCTTGATGGGAGATCCTGTATCATGTTCGTTCAGGCGTTTAGAGGACTTTTTGGGACCCCATTGGGTTCTTGTAGAAGGAGCGTTTGCGTTTGTCTTGAACAGACAAAATGTATTGAGGGCATTCCCTGGAAACAACCGCATTGCCATGTTCAATCCTGGTGAAATGAAAATTGCAACAACCACGTCCTATAGAAGACTCCGTCATGTTGCTTTTGCTGTAGATGGGAAGTCCGTTTATGGTGTCACTGAAGACAAGGAAGCAGCAGTGGTATCTTTTGATGTTTCAAGTGGAAAACTTACAGCAAAGATAGAGATTAGTACTTGTCGTGGTCTCCATTATCCTAAACAGCCTTTTACGACCGTAAACAATTCTGACAATGGTATTTGTCTTGTGACAATGATCAATGGTGTCCTTTTGAAACAACGTCATCGTAGGACTGCTGTTCAGCTATGGAATTTTGAGTTGTCTCAACAAGTCCGAAGTTGGGCCAGTCTATGCGAGGTTACGTATATGATGCCAGTCACTGACCAATGTGTAGCATGTGTGGGCAGAAGGTTTGAAGTGAGCATCCTGGACACATTAAGTGGAGACATAGTGAAGACCATCTCACTTTGTCATGAGGGATACCAGTCAACATGTCCAATTATGTATAAAGAAGCAATAGAATGTAACAGTAAATTTCAGCTGTTATCCACCGCTCGTGACTCAGTTCAGCTGTCAGATGATGGAGGTAGTCTGTGGAAGAGAGTTTTTAAAGATTCTCTATTGTGCTCGTGGAATCTCCCTGGCATGTTTTCTCCAACGGAAAACTTTGTCCTGGTCTCAGCAAAGTCCCCTCAGTGTAAGCAAGAAGTACACGTGCTTGATGCGTCTTCAGGGTCCACTGTCTGCACCCTTTGCACAGTCGATCACGTGACGAAGTGTGCGTTTGTGAGTGACGCGGAATGTGTAATCGACTGCCAGGATAGACCAGGAAGTTCCTGTCTTCGGTTATTTAATGTTAAGACTGGAGATTTGCTTAGCGTACTTGATACGGATACATGGCCTTCCTGTTTGGTTTCCTTCCCTCAAAAGGGTTTGATCGCCTTTGGCCTCTGGAACTCCGGACGTATGTGCGCATTTATCGAGGTAAAATTGCCTCGAGACAAAGTCAACAGGAAAGCAAAGGTGAGAAATGCGTTCGTTCTTAAGAATTATTTCGCGAAAATCAGTGTATCCAACAACGTCAAACAAATTTCGGAAAAGTCACTTTGCCTGTTACTCTACGGGTTTACGGTACTCGAGCATCGTCTAGCGTTCTTTGTTGCCGGCGACAGAGGCTTAGCTGTTAGACTGTATTATTTTGACAGTTTGTTTATGAATGCAGCATTAGTGAATATATGAATTTCATATGTTGGAACTGTGGGGTGAAGGGATAATGCAAGGAAGACAATCGAAGTTAAAGATGCAACTTCAAAAACTCATTTATAATTCATACAGAAAAACCAAAAGAAATTAACGTTTAATGAGTGTCTTTATACCTGATAAAGACACGGCTAAACTTTGCGTCCAATTTCTTAGACCAGTAACCCCAAATCTTAATATTAGTGCAAGAATGAGTTTATCTATATCAGAGATTTTGAAGCCGTTCAAAAAACTCGCAGGAACGTTTTGTGTCTCATGGTTGTCTTTTCTTTGTTTTGTTTTTAATCTTACAGGCCTTGAGTGCTCCACAATGATGGATCTGAAGCTTGATCTGCATCTTCCAAACCCAAGAGACGGTATGAACAATGCAGCGGGAAAACCTCATAAACGGATGGTTCGAAACTTATACAAAAGAAACGATTTACGTGTAGGGTTTTCTGTTAGTGTCATTAAGTCACTCTTAGCAAGTGGCTTAGAAAAGCCCTGGAACTAACGCTCTTTATCATAATCAATTGCTTAAGATGTGAGGTGTTGCTAGTTGTAAGGTTAGTTTTAGTTAAGAGTTCTAAGGCTAGGTTTTAACAAGTGAAACAGAGGACCATAAGGAGTAAACTACACTGTCGCACGAGATAGCGTAAGGTTATATTTGAATAGTTCTCTGTGGGTATCGGACTTAGTATAAGCTAGTAAAACAAAACGTCCACCTACCTTATGTTCTGTATCATAAACAGTAGGTCAAGGTTTATATTTCCTGATTTTTGAAAACTGGATTTTTTTGTCTAAGACTTAGTAATAACCTCTTAGAAACAGCATCGACAGAACTTGTGTTCAGCATCACAATCAAATAGGTTAAACCTCCCTTAAACAACCACCTACAAAGCGAAGAGTTAGTGGTCGCTTACGGGAGTCGAACCACTGAGGGTCTTTTTTGGTGAGAGGTTCGAAAACATCTGCTTCTTACAAGGCCATACACACGGTCTTTTAGCCCGTCACGAAATCCTCCTTCGTCGGAGGGAACGCGTGAAGAAGCCGAAAGCAGTCAAGCCTTTTATTTCGCGCACGGATTTCTGGGACAGTACTCCCCCTCCCTTGCGGAAATATGTGCTGATGATGCCGAAGCAACCCGGGGATTTCTACGTTTCGGGATAAAACACCAACTTTACTTGGCAGAAAGGTAAGTTTACATCTTTTTATCGGAATAATTGCGTATTTTGCGTTTTGGATGGGTATAGCCACCTCATGATTTTACTTTAGCTCACTTCGGCTTTGCGTGGTACATTTTCAAAGCGTATTTAACATTTTTCTGCATAGTGCACTCCATAATCCTTTGTCTTTTATCGTACTGGGTATGGATGAGCGTTGATCTGATACAATTTTAACGATCACTGTTCTCCTTAGAAAAGAACCCGGCCTCTGAGGCCTAATGATTAACGATGATAAAACTGAGTTGATATTAATAGGAACTAGACAACAATTATGTAAGATCAATGATGTATGTTATATCTCTGTAGGTGATTATGATATTTATCCTAGTTCCTGTGTTAGAAATCTAGGTGCATGGTTTGATAATAAGTTGTCAATGTCAACGCATGTTACTAAAATCTGTAATGCCGCGTTTTATCACCTACATAATATTAGAAGGATTGAGAAGTATTTATCTCGCGATTCGTTACTAACGCTTATTCATGCTTTTATCACTAGTCGTTTAGACTATTGTAATGGACTTCTGTATGACCTTCCTAACTCGCAAATAACAAATAGTTAAATTGCAACGTGTGCAGAACGCTGCAGCTAGACTCGTACTGAGCTTAAATAAGTACTCGCATATTTCTCCCGCGCTTTATCAACTTCACTGGTTACTAGTACAACATCGTGTTCATTTTAAGATCTTAATTTTAACATTTAAAGCTATTCATGTATTGGCGCCTAAGTATATCATCGAACTAATTAACATTAAGCCTAGGTCTATATATAATCTTAGATCAAATCAAAGTTTATTGCTAGACCCTCCTAAAGGGAAAATGCTTTTCACGTTAGGTGACAAATCTTTCTCTGCTGCTGCCCCATATTTATGGAATAGTTTGCCGTCTGAATTACGTGATATTCAATCATTAGCTATTTTTAAATGTAAGCTGAAAACTTCAAGATTTATTTCGTGCAGCTTTTACAACGTAACCTGTTTGACACTCACTTTATTAGTATTACTAATTAAGTTTATTATCATTATTATAAATATTTTATATTATTATTTTTATTACAGTCAACGCATGTCAAGCGTTTCTTCCGCTAGTGGACTAATAAATTCATGAATGGAAGAATGATTCGGTTTGTCGATTCAATAATCCATTCATAAAATGAATAATCCAATAGTCAAATAGGACCTCGATTCAACAATTAAATGTTGATTCGGTTTATGAACAAAATCTACCTGTTCTTTATTCTTGTCTGTTCCTACCGTTTACGATTGCGTTTTTCATTGCCTTTAATCAAAATAACAGCTAGAATAGACAGACCGCAAACGCAAAGAAACTGACAAAGGCCGAGGATCGAAATCCACCAATCACCACACATACACTGACCACAGTTTGACCATCATGTTACTCTGATTACTGGCAGCAAAATGGCGTACATGTAACAGTTAGTTTGGGTAAGGGTTTGAAGTTCAGAACTCGCCCGCGCTATTGAATCAACAAACGAAATCATTTTTCCATTAATAAATTCATTAGTTCGTTAGCGACAGGAACGCTTGACCTGCTTTGACTGTAATATACATTGTTAATATTCATGTACATGTAATTAGTTTACAAATTTGAATTTTATTGTAGTTTTTTTAAAGTTGTTAAGTGCTGTTGATCAGTGAATGTAAATAGCGTTCTAGAAGTTATTAAATTATTATTATTATTATTATTATTATTATTATTATTATTATTATTATTATTATTATTATTACTTGAAGACTCTGAAAGACTAAGGGTTATAGAGAGTCACTGTAACTGTAGTTCAAGAAACCCGGAACGTGTAAGGCTTCTACGGTTCTTTATTAATTCCCAATCTATTCATATTATCTGTTAATATTCTTGATTTTCTACTTATAGCTGTCAGCTATAAGTAGAATTATGTCCCTTGAATCAATGAAATAGGCACTCTGTTCTCTTTATTTTCGTCTGGATTACAAGGCAGTCATGCATGTTAGTGCTTAATACAATACAGTGATTTTTTGCAGAATTTGCATGAAAATAGAGTCGTGGCTGCCTTGGCGTCACTTGCTAGCTATCCTAGCGTAATCGATCACGAAAACAGGAACTCCTAGGGGATTGTATCTGTGCCAAAATTTGACTACTTCCTCTAAAATTTATTTTAACAGTTTGTCAGTTATTGGGTTTCCATCATGTCAATTGAACATGTAATCAAACTTCAAAAGTAAATAATGATCATAATGTATAGCAATAATAATAATAATAAATTAGTAGACACATGCATGCGCCATTAGTTGTTCATGCAGCTAGAAATTACGGGTAGTTAGCCAAAACTGATGCCTTTTGGCATCTTCTCCTGTGGCTGAGGTTAAATGCTTCCAACTGTCCCCTAGTTTTTGACATGATTCTTCCCACTCTAGGGTGGAAACCAAATGAAAATTGGGCCTAATAAAAATAGTCATCCAATCACTGTCGATAATGTGATGCTTCTGTTATACATGTACATGTACATGAGGCTTCTTAGGGGAGCAGGGGGGTATGGATGTCCCTGGTCAAATTTCAAATAGGGTCATTTTGTGTTTTGAGGAGTAGGACATGTCTCTGTTGTTACACTGTATTTAACCCATCTTTGTGTCTGCCCACTCATTTGTCGCAGTTCAGGGCCATGCCGCATATCGGAATTGTACCCTAACAGGGTCTTATACATGTAAGAAGTAAGGATTTCATTTGCATTCCAGTGCTTATTTTGTGTTTTTACCAATGAGCACAATTTTCTCAGCATATATTAGAAACAACACAGTAGTTGTTATCATGTCGTTAGATTACTAATTCACCAAGGGGGTGGTAGTTGTAGTGTCAGAAATGTGGTAGTGGTAGTTGCTATTATACTGAGGGGGTGTTTATAATAGCCGTATATGTATTCTTCCTTAAAGTATTTTCCCTATTTCAGGGGGATGCTACACCTACATGTAGGCTCAATTGGTAAATGAGGGAGGTTGAGAGGGTAGGTGTTGGTATCAATGGTCAGCATTCATTGTGGATATACAAGTTCAAACAATCAAGCAAGTGGTAGTGGTTCTCGCTAAGGAGGGAGGGAGGGAGGAGTGTCATTTGTAGTTTTATGAAGGGTGAGTGGATCATACTAGCAGTGGTAAATGAGAGGGGAGAGGGGTTGTGGAAGTGAAAGTGTTAGTAGGGGGAAGGAGGGGGAGTTGTAGGGCATGGGAGAGGGAAGAAATAGTGGAAGTAGAGAGATGAGGGGGTGCAGAGAGAGTGGGGTGAAATGGGACTTCAGAGCGTGTAAGTAAACTTTAACATTTTGCCCAGGTTTCAGTTTATGCATGGTATAAAAACTTTCATTTTGTTTTTTGTGGTTTCGTGGGAAGCTGTTCTTTTTTCTTTACATTGTTTTTCCTTTTGCTAATATTATTTAATGAAAATGGATGTGGATGGACAAACTTAAACTTAATGATGATAAGACAGAATTTATGATCATTGGAACAACAACTTAAAAAGGTTAGTATCGCAAAATTGTCTGTTGGTGACATCAGCGTTGCTCCTGGTAGTACTGCACGAAATCTTGGAGTTCTGTTTGATCGAAATCTGAAGTTTGATGCTCAAATTACAAAAACATGTTGCGCAGGTTACTACTATCTGCACAATATACGAAAGATCAGGAAATACTTAACGTTGGATTCAACCAGATGTTTGGTTCATGCACTGGTAATGGGGCACGTAGATTACTGTAATAGCTTACTGTACGGTCTCCCAAGAAATAATATCAATAAGCTACAGTGTCCTCAGAATATGGCTGCAGGTTATAAAGGCTGGTTTTCACTAGCGACGGAATCGGAGTCATAATCAGAAGTGTAGAACTTATAATCTAGTGAAAACAGCGTTCCGATTCCGCTTACGACTCCGTCGCTTACGTTCCACTTATGATCTAGTGAAAACCAGATTGTCGGAGTCGGAAGCAGAAGCAGAAGAACCAAACCAATCACAAAGCGTGGGAACGTGCATTGTGATTGGTTTATCCTTCCGCTTCTGCTTCCTACTCCGACAATCTGGTTTTCACTTGATCATAAGCGGAACGTAAGTGACGGAGTCGTAAGCGGAGTCGGAAGAAATGGAAACGTTCTGATTCTTCTGACTCCGATTCCGTCGCGCTTATGACTCCGCTTACGACTCCGATTTTTGATTTTCACTAGATCAGAAGCGCTCTTACGACTCCGACTCCGACTCCGACTCCGACTTCGACTCCGACTCCGACTCGGTCGCTAGTGAAAACTAGCCTTAATAACAAATACTCCGCGGTTTTGTCACATCACACCTGTACTGTGTCAGTTGCACCAACAGGTATCAGGATTAAATTCAAGGTGATACTTATAACATTTAAAGCAATAGCTGGACTGGTTCCATATTACATACAAAGTTTAATCGAAGTCAAGGAGAAGTCCTCCTACAACCTTAAGTCAAATGATGAACTGTTACTTGCTCCACCGACGTTCAAGTCTAAAAAGACCATAGGCGACAGGACTTTCCAAGTGACTGCGCCGACTGTATGGAACAAACTTCTAAGTGTATTAAGGATGGAAACAAGCTTGAAGCCTTTTAAAGCCAAACTAAAAACTTTACTTTTTAAAGAAGCCTATGATTTATAGTTTTACGACTCATGAGTGACTTGTCGATTAACATTTTTAAGATGATTTCAATTACTTAGTTTCAATACATTTTTTTAATCGAATCTTATAATTGCCTTTTTAATCGTATATATAGAGAGATTTCTACTAAATTTTAAGTGTTTATTTATTTATTTATTATTTATTTATTTATATTCTATCTTATTATATTTTTTGTTAGTGCGCGTTAGATCATATATTTGAATGCTATTTTGCGCCTAATAAATAATAAATTATTATAAATTATTATATGAAATATAATAGGTCCTGCAATTTGCAATGAGCCATGCAACAGTGTGTGAGTAAAGGTGTCCCAGGGAAATTACAAGTGCATAATATATCCCCGCCAAAATTTGACTTATTTAGCTTCTTAAATTCTAATGAACATTTTTCGTTCTTTTTCAGTGTGTACATGATTGGTGCTTGTAGAAATGTCCTCCAAGTTTTAAACTAGGGACAGTAACTACTTCTCAGGTACCCTTGACTGTTATACTGTCAATGACCCCTTTACTGTTGTATTTTAACTTGGATCTAAAGATTTTTGTTAGAAGTGTTGTGTCTTTTTACTTAGATATTTTTTCTCCCCAATTGAGCTTACAAGCCAACCGGGAGCGGAGCTTGTCATTTAGTCACTTTGTTGCAAACTCGTGAAGGATGAACATGAAAGACCAAATATATTGATATCACATATAGATTTGCATGATGATGAAAGTGTGCACTGTAATAGGCCTTATTCAAAAGTACCTTAATAGTCATAGTACTCTTTGTTTCCCCCACAAACTTTTGCATAAGCATTGCTTTTAATTTATTTTGGGACTTACGATCATCCTTACACTCAAAATGTATGCATGCGCAAGTTAAATTGTGGTGGGAAAACAAAGAGTATTTTGTGTTTTTGTTTTTTATTATTCAATAGCAGTTCAACTTAAACTGTTAAATATGTGAGGAGATGCTTAGCCTGCAAAAACATCCGTTTGTCCTCGCTCTTCGCTGATGGGGACGTTTCGCGTGGAAGAACGTCTGCGACTCAGCTGTAGAAATTCCATACTGATGACGTAAACCAATGTTTACATAACAAATCTAGTAGTCATGGGGTTTTACATATAAATTTGTCCAATTTTACGTGTCTTCTGGTCGATTTTGGTAAAGTGTTGTGTTCATCTGCCAATGAGTTCCAGCAAAACTCAAATGCTTCTTCTAGAGAAGACTACACTGTAATTTTCAGGGAGTTATAATAACTCCTCTAGTGGGTCTAATTTAACTCCTTACAGTGGAGTTATTTTTCGTGGAGTTATTTTAACTCCAAAAACGAGTTTAAAGAACTCTTTTCCAGGAGTAAAAGTGACCCCAGATATTTAGGAGTTAAAATAACCCCCAAAAAAGAGTTATCCTGTACCTAAAATTTATCCTGTACCTAAAATTTTTACTCCATTTTTAGAGTTATAATAACTCCCTAAAAATTACGGTGTATATTTCACTGTTTTGTTAGAGATTCTTCGCGTTTACGTTTGACCTTTTTGGCCTTTTTGTCTTTTGTCTGTCATTCGTAAACAATAGCTTAAACAATGTAACTACTCCGTCGACCAATCAGCGCTTCTGACCGGATTCCGGACAGATTTTACGTCATCAGTATGGAATTTCTGTCGCTGAGTTCGCAGACGTTCCTCCTCGCGAAACGTCCCCGGCTGCGAAGAGCGAGGAGAAACGGATGTTTTCGCAGGCTATGAGATGCTCTGAATATGTTAATAACGTTGATGAGACACTCAACTACTCAATCTTTTAGGTTCTTTTTTTATAAGAAAAAGAAAAAGGTAACTGTGATTTAAAGTTAATTTGTTTTTTTTGTGTGTGTGTGTGTGTGTGTTTGTTTCTACGAAGATTTAAAAGGTGGTGGATATTTCCTTTTCTGGCTTTTATGGCGACTGCAACACCGTCACCCCTCGCCAGCTCTTTTGACAAGACAAATGGAAACAAGCTAAGCAGGCTTCTTATCGATGGTGGAACAACAGTGCTGAGGAATATTTTTGATTACCATCACCCTCCTGCTCACTTGGCTGCTAATCTTGGTTCCAGACATATTCATCCCATTCTTACTAGACTTCGGCATAGAAACATTCTGAATGGTAGTCAATGGGACAAACTGTTTCCACCATCAGGTGGAGGGACTCCAAACTCTATTACCTTTGATATCACTCTTCTGTTCCTCTTGCTCACTAACATTTGCGGACTATCCCCTCCCCCCTCGGGCTCTTGGCACAAAATGCCCCCCGCAAGTGACACCTCTTTTGAGGCTAACCTTGCTCGGATTAAGTACTATCGAAATGTGCTCTATGGTCACGTGACAACAACTGGTATTCCAAAACTATTGTTCGATCTTAAATGGCAGGAGATAAGTTCCGTTCTTGTTTCGCTTGGGTTGAATCAGTCTGAAGTGGACAGATTAAAAAGAGAGCCTTGTGGGGAGGACTATATTAGCGCTGTTACTGAATGGATGAAAAATGACGAGGAGATCCAATTCCAGCTGAAAGATCTACGTACATAACAACAACAAGTGCTCCAAACTCAACAGGAAAATCGCGGAACTCTTCAAGATACACAACAAACGGTTGGCAGAGTGGAACAGACGCTTCAAGATACACACCAGGCATTTGGCAATTTACAGCAGACGCAAAACGAGACAGTGAAATTGCAACAAGAGGACCACAGAATTCTTCAGGACACGCGCCAAGCAGTTGAAGGTGTACAGCGGTCTATACAGATGTTACAGGAAGTTCGGAAAACCCAACAAGAATCGCGGCAGCAGATAGAGTATGAGGCTGCAAACACTGAAGAAAGAAGAGATAAAGCTGAAGAGGATGAAGCTCTTAGAAAATTAGCAAAAGTTAATACTGTGACGGTCATCCAGTCTCACTCTGGGAAATACCAGGAGGGAACGCGCTTGCACATCTTTGAGAAGATCAAGTTGTGGCTAGACGACCTTACATCTAAAAATCGTGTGGTGGTAATCAGTGGCGATGCGGGAATGGGCAAATCAGTTATCGCCGCTGTCGTTTGTCAGAGAATGCAACACGCTGATCGGCTCTCTGGAAGTCACTTTTGTCAGCACAACAAGGAACGTTTCAGAAACCCGAAGGTGATGCTGCAGTCGTTAGCTTGTCAGTTGTGTGATGTTTTACCAGAATACAAAAGTGAAGTTGTGAAGAAACTTTCTAGAAACTTGGGTGTGGGCATGAACAACCTAGAAGTCCAGGAGTTGTTCGAATTTCTTTTCGAAGAGCCTTTACGCAGCGTAGGAGACCCTGGTAGAAATTTCCTGTTAGTTATTGATGGCCTGGATGAAAGTGAATACAAAGGCCGCAATGATCTGCTTGATGTCGTAGCTAATCATTTTTGTAAACTTCCTGTTTGGTTCCGGTTTCTTGTTACCACTCGACCGGAAATAAATATTGCAGATGGTCTTAAAAGGTTTAATCCTATTCAGCTGGAGCAAGATGACGAAGAGAACGTGAAAGACATCAGACTCTTCCTTGAAAAACAGTTGAGCAGCGTTATTCAATCGGGCTCTGAAGAAGTTGTTATCGATGCACTGGTCCGAATGGCTGCAGGGCATTTTTTATATGCTTATTTGATGGTCGATTTTATCAAGGAAAACATATTAAATCTCACCCCTGAGGAGTTAGGAAGAACATTACCTTCAGGTGTATCGTCTGTTTATCAATCCTACTTTGAACGTTTAGAGAAAGAATTGGAAATTAGTGAGGACCAGTTTTTGACTTTTCTAAGTGCTATGGCGGCTGCAAGAGAACCGCTGCCTCGAGACTTTGTTTCTAAGATGATGCTTTCGGACTCGAAGTCCCCATCTGGTCCTCGGAAAGTAACAAAAGCTATCAACTCTATCTCAACCCTTCTACCTGTTCATGATGACTGTATTGTGTTCTTCCACAAATCAGTTAAGGACTGGTTGACAGACAGAACTGCCTACGGGCGACACACCTTCTCTGTGGATGAAAAGCAAGGTCATGTCAAGCTTTCTGAGCTCTGTACTGATGAACTGAATAACGTGAAAAGAAGAGGTGTTCACGGCACAGAATTCAGTGACACTGCAAGGTACGCCCTACAGCATGGTGTTTATCATATGCTCGAGTCTGGAGACCTGGAACAGAGTACAAGAAACTTTCAAGAAATCGTTAACAACTATATTACCGACTTAAACATTGTGTATGCAAAGCTTTGTGTAAACAACACGGCTAGTTCTGAGGACATTATCCTGACTCAGAAACAAGAAGCTTTTCGGGCATTGAGTAGTGAGAGGCAAAAAGCCCTTGGCACGTTGTTGTCTCTCTTACGAAAGTACCATGGGAGACTTTCGACGCATCCTTGTACAATATTTCAAGTGATGGTGAACGAGGGAGGGGACGTTTTTGCTGGTGAAGTGACGAAAGTTTTACAGAGTCGTAAATTACCATACATGGAGTACTTTCATAAGGAAGCTTTTTTGAAGTGGTTGAATAAGACCCAGGCTGAGTTTCCTTGTAAATCTGCGGTTGCTTGTTTTGATATTTCCCCTTCGCAGGAGTTCATGGTTTGCGAATGTACTGACGGAATGATTTACCTTTGGTCACTCAAAACGGGTGAGCAAAGGTGGGAACGTCGGGTTGAGATCAAGAAATGCTACTTTAAACGTTCTCTCCCCTATAGAGTGGTGCCAAACTCAAATGTATTGTCATGTTATCGCTCTGTTGTTTTTCACCCTACTGAGCCCGTTGTTCTTCCTGGAACCCTTAGACATGCTTACTCGTTTGAAGGAAACCTCCAACCTCTGTTTCAAAAAAGCATCTGCAGATTTTCTGTTTGTTCATTTCATGGGGACAAGAGCAAAATTATCACCGATCTCCTTGGCGATGCTAAATGCCTTATCCTGTGGAATCTAAAAAATGGTGAAGAGATCACTCGAACCTATACAGAAATGAAGCTGTTTTGTCTTTTGGTTGGTCTCCAGATGGAACCCTTCTGGCAATTTCCCATTTTTCGGGACTGGTATGTTTGGTTGACGCATTGCTCTTACGGACCACTCTCGCAGAAGTCGCCACCAATCAACCGTGTGGAATGATAAAGTTTACCCCTGACATTCAATTCCTTTTTTGTTTGTCTCTGCCTATTCCAGGTAAAGACAGATGCAGCGAGTTGCGACCCTTAAGTTTTCCCTTAAACGTCATTAAGAGGCCTGATGGTACCTTTTCCTTGAACGTTTTAGACAATGATTTTGGCCGGGATCCATGGAATTACCAATGGAATTACGAATCATCCAGCAAAGGTGGATTCTTGATGGGAGATCCTATGTTATACAGGCTTTCCTGGACCGGAAACCCTGATTTGTCCGGTTCACTTGATTTGTTTGCATTTGCATTTGTATTAAACAAACAAAGTGTATTAAGGGCACTTCCTGGCAACAGAATTATCACAATGCTTAAACATGAGAATAATTGGAGGTTCACCTGGCGTTCTCCTTTCTTTCCTATTTGCTGTCGCATTGCCTTCGCTTTAGATGGAAAGACCATTTATCGTACCAGTGAAGGGTATAAAGGCTTACAAGTGAAATCTTCGGATGTGTCGATTGGAGATCATAAAGCAACGAAAGCGATATGTACACATGATGTTTTACTTGTACCTGTGTCAGAGGGTGTCGTTTTGAAACAAAAAGAACCTGGGGCGGATGTTCAGCTATGGAATTTTGAGTTGTCACAACAAATCCGAAGTTGGCCTAATTTAAGCGAGGTGAGGGATATAATGCCATTTTCAGACCAATGTGTAGCGTGTGTGGGGAGAGAGTTTGAAGTAAGCATCCTGGACACATCAAATGGAAACATAGTGAAGACCATCCCACTTTGTCACGAGGGTTTCCAGTCAACATCTCATGTGTTTGGTGAAAAATCCATAGTATGTAACAGTAAATATCAGCTGCTATCCACCAGTGGTAGCTTCGTTCAGCTGTCAGACGGCAAAAATGAACTGTGGAAGAGAACTCTGAAATGTTCACGTTTTGTTAACCGTGCGATGTTTTCTCCAACAGAGGAGTTTGTCCTTGTCCGGTCTGGAAACTCTGACTTCAAGAAAGAAGTACTTGTTCTTGAAGCATCTTCAGGAAAGCATCTCCGGACGCTATGCACCGTTCGCCAAGTTCTTGACTATGCCTTTGTAAGTAAGACGGAATGTGTTATGCTCTGCGAGAATACTTCAGGGAGTTGTTATCTTCCGTTGTTCAATGTTAGCACTGGGGATGTCCTAACTGTACTTGATATAGATTTTGTACCGTCCGGGTCTCTGGCTTCCTGTCCACAGAAGGGTTTGATCGCTATTGGCCTTGCGAACTCCGAACATAGGTGCGCAGTTATACAAGTAAAACTGCCGCGACACAAAGTAAACCAGGAAGCAAAAGGTAAGTAATACGTTTTTTTCCTTATCGTAAGTCGAAGAATTACTAAGTTTACTAAGCGTCTACAGATCACACCTACATTAAATTGGTAATATTAGTTCCCAAAAAGGAGCTTGTGTGAAGGATATTGCAGTTTGTGGATATTAGTGGGGTCGAACCTCTATTAAGCAGCCACTTTATTTAGCGGCCTGTTACTAGATTCCCTGTAGACAAAGCTGTCAGTAAATCACTGTAAAAAGTACTTTTATGAAGCGGCCGCTCTATTTAGCGGCCTGTTACTAGATTGCCTGCAAACAAAGCTGTCAGTAAATCACTGTAAAGAGTACCTCTATTAAGCAGCCACTCTATTTAGCGGCCTGTTACTAGATTCCATGTAGACAAAGCTGTCACTCTATTTAGCGGCCTGTTCCTAGATTCCCTGCAAACAAAGCTGTCGGTAAATCACTGTAAAAAGTACCTTTATTAAGCAGCCACTCTATTTAGCGGCCTGTTACAAGATTCCCTGCAGACAAAGCTGTCAGTAAATCACAGTAAAAAGTACCTTTATTGAGCAGCCACTCTATTTAGCGGCCTGTTACTAGATTCCCTGTAGACAAAGCTGTCACTCTATTTAGCGGCCTGTTCCTAGATTCCCTGCAAACAAAGCTGTCAGTAAATCACTGTAAAAAGTACCTCTATTAAGCAGCCACTCTATTTAGCGGCCTGTTACAAGATTCCCTGCAAACAAAGCTGTCAGTAAATCACTGTAAAAAGTACCTTTATTAAGGTGACTCGACCCAGTTGTCTATTGTTTCTAGTCTGTCATGATACAGCATTCTTGTTCAGCACGCGTGCAATGACCGCGCTTGGCTGACTTCCGAATGCTCAACGAGATATTATAATTTTGGTACAGTGAGACAGGCCATCGCGTGATACATAGAGGTTTAACTCACAATTTTTAATCAATTCTCGTGCTTCTTGTGTCTTTGCAAAAAAATCAAGAAGTGCTACACACTAAGTCTACTTACTATTACAAAAATATCATTTTTTCATAGGTTTAATGCAAGCCAATAATTAAACCAACTCGTGACGGGAATATCTCGGTGAGCATTCGGAAGTCAGCCAAGCGTGGTCATTGCACGCGTGCTGAACAAGAATGCTGTATCATGACAGACTAGAAACAATAGACAACTCCCAAAGCACAAACTCAGCCAAAACGCTAAAAATCTTCAATGTTTACTCAAGTTTGAGCTTATAGAAGATAATGTCACAGTTTTTCAATGACCATGAAATTCAGAGTCCGGGTAGTTAGTTAATCAATTGTGGCCCTGAAAAAATTTGAAGGAAAAAAAACTACGAATTTTTAAGAAAATGCTTTTTTCGTGAGGAAGGACTCTCAAACGCTGACAAACGTCAACAAATAGCAAAAACTTTAATTTCTGTATGTTTGCTTTGCTCGAAATCGCGCGCATTTACAAGGCCCTAAAGCGTTTTGCTGACTTGCAAGGACCCATCTGTTATAACGATGCCCAAAATAAAGGGATGAATCTCTTGGTTTATTAGACATAATCCGTGTAAAGTTTGCTTATCAATTTCGCATAAATTATGACCTAAATTTGGAAACCGCTGAATTTCTCGAATTGGGTCTTTGCAATTTTGGTGAAACTCTGTTCAGCGCAAGGCACTAATGCGCACTACGTGTAGCCGAGAGATTTTCACGAAAAAATGCCGGCAACAGCCGATTTTCGACTCAGACCTCAAAGGGGCGTGGCATTATAACCACGTGACATTTACTCCGATTGCCAAACATTTTATGTTATATTGTAGATTGATCTATATGTTATCCATTCTATGTGTTAGACTTACGATAAAAGTAAAGGTGGGGATACCAGAGAGCTTCAAAGTAGGATGGTACCCCCCCAAAAAAACTGGGTCGAGTCACCTTAAGCAGGCCCTCTATTTAGCGGCCTGTTACTAGATTCCCTACGACCAAAGCTGTCAGTAAATCACTGTAAAAAGTACCTTTATTAAGCGGCCACTTGTCCCTTCCCCGAGGCTGGCCGCTGGCCGCTTAACCCTTCAAGTCACAAGGGTGACCAACCTCAATTTTCCCCTAACAATATCAATACATCATCATAAGAAAACGTTATGAGAATTGATGAAATGATCACCTAAGAGAAAAATGCTTTGATCTTTAAACAAATTCTCTCAACTGTTCCTTCTTCATTGAGCGAGATATCTCAACTCCAGAAAACTTTGTGAATCTTTAAAAACTTTGCCAGTAGCTTTATTCTCAGTTTTCAAATATTCTTGCAGATTGGTAGATTACATAGATCTTGTTTAATTAATGGGGATGTAAGACATGCAATAATGGGTCACTCTTACTTTGTTATCTGGGACCACTGATGAATACAAATTTAGTTATATTTTGGGATTTCAGATCCTTACATAAGCAGATATTTTTTAATTGCATGCGTTAGTTAAGTATTGTCGATTGCTTTTGGTTTTTGCATTCAGTTGTCCTCATCCATAGCATCCACGAAGATTTCACTGAAGCAATCAGAAATAAGAGGTCTTTATAGTTTCCATAGTTACTACTTTTATGCATCAATTTTCAATCCGTCAGCTGAGTAACTTATTCGTAGTATTTTAATGTTCTGTAGTTTCCGAAAGCTCAACACTTGGAGACAAAAGTTCTGCTACAGTGCGTCGACCTGGCAACAAATTGTGAGTGCAAGGTTCTCTATTCTCTCCCATTCCAACTGTGATTGTAAAACGTTTTGGTAAATTTAGTGGAGTTTCGTTGCAAAAGATTGCTACGGAGGAACCATTATGTGCTTACCAATGAGAAGGAATCAGCGTGTAACCAGAACGTTATTGTTTTGGTAGCAAACGGGTAGGCATATAACCGGGATTATAATATGGTATTTTTAAGTTACTTAAAGTTCATTCTAGGCTCGAAAAGAAGCACGGTTGAGAAACCGAAATTAGTTAACCCATGCTAATTTACCACGAAGGTTCTCAATGATATTTTAACACTGCTTTTGACTACAGGATTGTAGGATCTACTGATATCATCGGAAACCCTTACGCTTCTTTCGTACCAATATTAAACACGTCTAAAAGCTGTTTAGGTCATCGCCTTGGCACATTCTTCCACTTAAAGGCTGTGTACTGGTGTTTGTGGCCTTAATTTTGTAGAATTTAACACACAAGTTTAGCCTTCTTGAACCCTGCTGAGATATGATTGTTAGACCTGGTATAATTAAACAAGTTTTGTCGGAGTGAATAGGGCATAAAGCACACTCCACTTTGCTGTATTTAGTAAATTCACCCCTGGTATGTACATCGAAACTTATTTATCGGAAAGACTGTAGTGGCAGCTGACTCAGTTAAACTGAACCGAACAGAACTGTTACTGCTAACAATCTCTCACAATTATTGTAGATGTTCTTGATATTCTTTTGTACTTTTAGAATGTATCTTTTAATTACGAATTTTTATATACCTCTGTCTATTCTGTTCAACACCGTTTTATTTTTTATATTTTCTAGTGGTGGAGATTTTTGTGTGTGGTAAGTAGAAGTCAACAAGTTTTTTCTTTTTTTATTATTGATGGTTATGGTAGTGTTTTAAGTCTTACTTACTGCGAAATGGTTGTTGATGTTTAGTCTTTGGAGTTTGGAGCCTCAACATTGATGATGGATGAAGTATCCAGAAGTGTTAGGTGAGCAGCCAGTCTCTTATTGGCGCTGACAGTGACAGGAGGTGGATTGAACAACACGCTGTGAGAAAAAACCCCTGAAAAATGGAAAAGCTTCGAAAAGTATGCCATCAACAGTACGTTTAAACCTTCACTGTTAGTTCAAGGCTTAGTATTAGCAAGTAGGATAGAAAAACAGAACTAAAGTTCAGTTTCATAAGCAATAGCTTTAAATTTATATTTAAAGGACCAATGACAAAACCTGGATCGGACCGGATGGGTTAAACCCCTGTAACACTATTTCTAACCGTACGTGTATGTCTTTTATTGAGTTATAAGCAATAGCTTTAGATTTGTATGCGAAGAGTTAAGATTTAGTACAAAAATCGTAGGAACTGATTCAGCATCGTTAGCAATGGCTTACGGTTTATATTTGAGTATTTCTGTGTTTGTTAAGGCTTAGTGTAGAATACAGAGGACCAACGGTTTTAAATTTAAAGGATCGTTGACAAAATCTGGATTGGACCGGACTCAGGATCAACCTTTGTGACTCTGTTCCTAACCTTTTGTTATTTACCAAGTTACAGCGGTTTATTCAATTCCGGCGGTCCGATCCGAGTGTTGCTTACGCCTTACTTAAGTTTTTTATAGTAAATAGCTTGTCGAATTAGCAAGTCAAACAGGAAACCTACAGAAAGAAATGATGTTCAGTGTCATCATGACCTGTAGCTTAAGGTTGATAACTGAAGACTAGAGTTTTTTTTGTCGTTATTACATTAAATGACTTAGTTTAACGAGTTAAAAGAAACACCTAAGAACTTACTTTTAGTATCATAAGCAGTAGCTTAAGTTTTATATTTGAAGAGTTATTTATTCTTATTGGTGTCATTAAATGGCTTAGATCGAATTAGCACGCTTATTGTATCATCATGTCCTGTAACTTAAGGTTGATAATTGCACATTTTTTTTAGTCAGTAATGATTAGTTTAGCAAATGAAAAGGAAAACCTAAGAACTTACATTCCGTATCGTTAGCAATAGCTTAAGTTTTATATTTGACGAGTTCTTTACTTTTATTGGTGTCATTAAATGGCTTAGAATAAGCACTCCAAGTGAATTAACATGACCTGTCGCTTTATGTTGGTAATTGCAGGTTTTTTTGTCGTTATTATATGACTTAATAAGTTAGTCAGTGAATAGAAACACCTTAGAACTTACGTGTAGTGTCATGAGCAATAGTTTTACATTTGAAACGTTTTTTATTGGTGTCTCTAAATGGCTTAGAACAAGCACTTAAGAAGTGATGTTCAGTATCAGGTATCATGATTGACCATGAGCTGAAAGATGATAGTTGTAGAGCTTTTCGTTGGTATCAAAGTAAATGACTTAGTTTAGCGAGTGAAAAGGAAAACCTAAGAACGTACTTTTAGTATCAGAAGCAAATGTTCTATATTTGAAAAGTTCTATATTTTTATTGGTGTCATTAAATGGCTTAGATCGAATTAGCACTCCAAGTGTATCATCTTGACCTGTATAGTTAAGGTTGATAATTGTAGAGTTTTTTGTCGGTATATTAAATGACTGTATTTTAGCAAGGAAAAAGGAAAACCCAAGAGCTTACATTCAGTATCGTGAGCAGAAGCTTAAGTCATATTTTTTTTATTGAGGTCATTAAATGGCTTAGAACTAGCACTTAGTAAAACAGAGCCTTAAGAAGTGATATATTTAGTCAGCTGGTTTAGTATCCGGCATCATGACCAGTAACTGAACGATAGTTGTAGAGTTTTTTGTCAGTATTATTAAAACAAATTAGTCAGAAAGTGAACGGCAAAACCTAAGAACAGGGGCGTAGCTACCTTTAAGCCATTAAGCCCGGGTTAACAAATATTTGGGTTAAAATGAGCGTATATAAGGGAAGGTACGTTTTTAATAACGGAGAGGCCTGGGTCATAGAGGCAACTATACGATCCTTCCCTGACTATGACAAGCTTCCTGATTCCCATTATCTACCGCTATCAGCAACATCTATCGATGGTCGTGAACCTGATGATTTTCAGCCCCGAGCTCAAATGGAAAGAAAGTTCCACCAAAACAAATTAAATCCAGGAGACGACGAGAAAACAGCTGAATTTTCTCGGAACTGAATTGTCCCGCTGAAGTTTGTGAAGAAGGACTATGTTGATCACCTTGCTCAAATTGAAATGCGTAAGGAAAAGCGAGAAACTGAAAGTGAAAGGCAGCAGACGCAGTGGCTGGAACAAGATAACAACGACATTGAATGAGAGCAATTGTATAATTCTGACCAAATATCGTCGTTGAAAGTTCGTGAACTTAATTTGTACTTGGTACGTCATGGAATCGTGTTTAAAGGGAAGAAGCCAGAGAAACTGGCATATATAAAGTACATATCGCTGGCAGGATCTTATCAGGCATGGAGAAAGAGACTCCACTGCATGAAGAAACTTCAACTTTGGGCTCAGAAAGTGATGAAGAGGAAAGGATTGTAGGTTCTGAAACATTGCCAACGTCATCGAGAGAATTGAGCGATATAAGTGACAGCCCTGTACTGCATACATACTGGACACATCAGTGTCAAGGTATGGCCGGAAGAGAACGCGGGTCGTCCGTCGTCTGAGACAGCTAAGGGAGCTTTTTGAATCAATATTTCGCGTGATCATGATTTTTTTTTTCTTAGCGTTGTAGATTCGAATACATGTGATAAAATTCGAACAATAAGGGCCCGAATCACATGTAATAATGCAAGAAATATCGATTTTCGTTATCTTAAAGGCTACTAGTACAGATAGACAAACAAGAAGACTTCATATCTTTAAGACTTTTTGCATTTATTTGGCATCAGATAATACACTAATAATTCTAGTATATTCCGACCAAATGACCTCTGAAGCCCGAACCCACAAATAGTGCGCTTGGGCTGCCTGTGGTAGGAGCTGCTCGTAAGGTCTCTCCTGATTGGTCGCAGAAAACAATGACATGTCATTCTTTCAATTGTTTCAGTATTGTTTGGGGTCTAGGGTTAGGCACCTTTGGTGACTTCTCTTTCGAGCAGCTGCTACATGCCGCTCAGTCTCTCATAGCCTTGGGTGTTTCGATGCGCCCGCGGTACTCCCCACCTGACAACTCCTAAAACTCACGGCTCATGACTCATAGAATTCAAAGCAAATCTCGTTTGATTTTCAATTCGATTTCGTCATCAGCCCGTGAAGGTACGAGAGAGAGTGTGCATGGTTGGGCCTACATCATACCGTCCAAAAGGACAGCCGAGGAGTACTAGGAACGAGTTGCCGATTCGGGCCGACTTCGGAAATTCTCGAAAACATCCAATATGGCGGCTCAAGCGTGGTGAAAACTGACAGCCAAAGGAGCCGTTTTATCGCCACAGAAGCGTGATTTACGGTATTGTTGACGAAGTTTGCGTTTATTGTGAGTTTTGAAGTGTTCTTGGTCCTGTATAGTAAGCAATCCTTTTATAAATGTCTTATCAATTTGTCTTGTCCTGCTGGCCGGTATTACCGAAAAAAATAGTACCGTCCAACGGGACATCCTAAATTATAGCTACATTTGTTGGCATGTACATCACCTCTAGCTGTTATTGTTAAACTGTGTTGTAGGACTGGATTTCTGCAGGTTTCTACAAGCTTAGGATAAGGATAACTCTGTGGGAACCTTTTTATTGATAAAAGTGGCCTTGTCCTTTTGGCCGGTATTACCGAAGAAAATAGTACCGTCCGACGGGACATCCTGAGCGTTAGCAACATTTGTTAGGAGGTATATCATATCTGGGTTTTTTATTGTTAACCGGTGTTGTAGAACTTGATTTCTGTAGGTTTCTACAAGCTTAGGGTAACTGTATAGGAATATTTTAGTTTATTCATAAAAGTAAAAACTTGCAAGAGGTGACAGGCCGCACATCTTCACCGGCGTGAAACCTTTTACATATTGCTCCATTGAGGAGACATAATAGTCTTTATTGAGGATATCAATTTCACTGATAAGTGATTTACAAAAGAGTCCTCAAAAATTAAAAAAGAACAAAAAGGAAAAATAAAGACTTATATATGAATGTATAAAAATTAAACTAAAAACTATTTACATTTCTTAACACTCTTTTAAAACTAGCTAATGATGGGCTGTCTGATTGAAAGGTCTAATTTATTCCAATCGTTTGAGGCACAGTTTGTCGAGGTCCAATGGCCCCGGTTCCTATTAGATGCACTCTTACGGATATTGGTTTTACATCTAGTATTATAATCATGTTTATCCTTATTGAATTCAATATTAAAACGATGTAAAAAGGCAAAGGCAAAAGTAACTGAATAGGCTGCGCATTTTACTGCGATGATCATCTTCACTTTCATACCTTCATCCGCAGTTCAAAACAATTTATGAATCATTTCATATATTTCAATTCGTGCTTACAAGATCTCCATAATTTATGTAAACGCAACCTTTTTATGGAACCCTCATTCAAGGCCAGAACTAACACTAACCGCCAAACGGAAACTGCCTCATGCGAAAACTTTTAAAATTTACGCGTTAGTTTTAAAGGCCTCACTGGATCTGGATGAGGTTAAATTCAAATGTAAGCGAAACACTTGCAATATTTGAAAGAGCACTTGAGCAACACGATACAATACTGGGAACTAAATACTTAAACAATGTCTTAAAAATAAAGCTATTTTTTATTTCCCTCTGAGACACCTGGAGAATAAAATTCTCACAGAGCCACAGCCTAAAAAGGCGAAGCTGCTCTGTTGCATCAGGAAGGCCAAACTGTTTTACTTGATGCTGGACATGCACTATCATCAATGTTTTCTTTAGGATTAGTTTTGTTTGTAAAATGAAAGGGTGGTCATCACCGTCTTCTCTCAACAACACTAAAATGCATTCAAGGAAGTTCTTAACAATTATACCATCTATTATTGATCACAAGTTATGAATAACTTCAAGTACCTTTAAATCATCGCATAAGAAAAAAAAACTCCATTTAAAGCACAAATTCTCATCATTAAACTTAAAAAGAAAAACAAATACAGACATTTCAAACTGAGATTCGAGTCACCGCAAAAACGCAAAGAAGGTAGCCTAAACATTAAACCTAAAACTCACAACCACCTGAGTTTGACCAAAGCTCAAAAGTGCAATTGCTTTGCTTAGGGAAAGTTCATTTAATATGACAAGGGGGGGGGATGAAGATATTGAGGGGGGGCTCCGAAAATTTTTAGACGCCCGAAGGGGGGGCTCTGAAAAAATTGTTGCGCTAGGAGGGGGGGCTCGGAAAATTTGTATACTTCAAAACCAACACATGACATCATCATACAGATCGGATGGTTTTCAACTCAACAATTTAATGACCTGTGCAACTCAGCTATATCACGTGGTTTAC